GATGTGATTTTACACACGCCCAAAATAGAACGGATAAACTAGTTGCGAATTCATACTCTCCGCTTACAGTCGATTTGCATTTCAAATTATATTTGAGCGGCATCTTCGTTCTCGCGCTGAAAGAACCTTCCTTTGACGGATTTACGCGTGTCACGTCTCAAACGGTGAAGTGAAAAAGAAAATGCAAACTATGTTTCGCGACTTATTTCTAGAGTAACGTTGAAACTGCAAAATTCATAGCGGTATCATTTTTAGGAAGATGCGCGAAAGATCGCATTAATCTCGCAGCCACTTATTTGCTCGTCGAAACTTTCACGTATCTCCTAAGTTGGTCCTCGAAAGGGGATGTAGGTTAATATCCCCCGTAATTTATTATCGTGACGATGTAGTAAGGGTTCGGAGGACCATGACCCGAAGTATTTTCGAAACCTTTCTCAAGTTCCAGCAAAACATACTAGTGCAATTTGTACCATCTTTCTCCCCAAAGGATGATACCTCCGACAGAAGATGAACTCTTGGGAATTTTCGTAGTCCACTTTCCTATGTACCTCTTTCACATTCGGTAAACGTGCGGTATATGACAGCTATCTTTCTTTCAAGAAACATCTATCTTGCGAAACTTCCAATAGAGATCTTGAGCCTTGTTAAAATTCAACATGAAACTTCAAGAAATATCTAACAATCGTTCAAAGGGCGTCTCTTAAATATCTGTAGGTATGGAAATGTTCGCAGATCCATAAGAAAAATTAATTATAGAGGATATGAGACAAATCGCTAAATTGTTTAAATATCTTTCTTTGCCAAAAATTATATGTATCGGATTTAACCCGACATAATTGAAATCTCGACTAACATGTTAGGAATTTACAATTTCGAGAGTAACAATGCTATATAAAAAAAATTACTAACAGCATATTAGTTACAACAGAAGTTTTATATAAGTTCTTTAAAAAAGGATAAAAATGGGCCTAAAAAGAAGAATCATCACCTTGTTTAAACGTTTTTAAATTTTAGCAAGTATCTAACTGTGTCTCTGAGAGATTCAGTCCCCATATGCGAAAATATATAATGTAGCCTTAAAACTAGTTGAAGTAAGGAAAGCCATAGCGGATTGAAAGTAGTACGAGTAAGCGTATAAATCGGACGCAAGGAGGTCAAGACTTTTCTCAATCCCTACTCTCGAGTAGATGATGACTGCGTCGCCGTACCGGGAGAGATATGGCTTTGCAAAAAGGTAAAAACGGGTTTTACTCGAGACGAATACGAAACAGGTTGACGATTAAAGCATCAAAACCATCTGTGTACGTAGCCATATGTGTACGTGCAACCCGACTTTGTGGGTAATTTATGAGAAGCAAAGTTTTTTTTACCCGACTTCCTCCTAATAGTTTCATCTGTCTACCTCTGCAAAATCCTGGTTAATCTCCAGCGTTACGTACACGCGTTACAAGTTAATGCTTGAAAGATAACGAAAAAGCAATGTTTTGACGCGACTTTTTCCATCAATCGCGACTTGCTTTCGTAATGAAATTTCAACGAGTTTCTCAACTACGTCGAATTTACGCTTGTAAATTTATCAGTACATACCGAAAATAGACGGCATTGATTTAAAATCGTATAAAAATCAACAGCGCGGAATTAAAACTTAAGTGACAATATAACGCACCCATCTCACGATTTCAGTCGATTTCGCATTATATCGTAATAGCGTGTATTCCGTCTTTAAAATTAAAACATTGATGTCAGCTCGGAGTTAAATCATGAGCGTAAATAAGGAAATCTTCACGGTACCGCCAAGGACCGAGCGAAATTCCCGAGAATCTGGAATTCGAGATGCGTATATCCATGTACGCATTACTACCATGTCTTAATGTTCATCTCTGGATTAACATCTACGAAAGGGGCAAAAAGCACGTTGAGAAACGTCAAGGATATTTCCTCGATGTTTAATGACCATTCTACGCTAAAAGCTCGGCCTCAGAGAGTCAGACTGTTGCAGTCTCTACTTCTTCCCCTCCCTCTCTCTCTCTCTCTCTCTCTCTTTCTCTCTTGCTCTCTTTTGCCTTTGGCGGCAACAATGTTCCTACGAATCGCAACTGTCTGCTGCTCGTATGCAGCTCGTCCGCTACTCCTATCTACCTACGAAGCGAGACACTGTACGTTTGAGGTCCAGATGTGTCATTCTATGCAAAACACGCCACTATCCGCATTTCTTCAAATTCGACAAAAATCTCAAACCTTTTCGAGAAATGAAATAACTATTATCATTTGAAGAGATCGATATTACACATATATTGAAAAGCAAAAGGCTAAACACGTTTCACAAAAATAAAAATTAAGTACGATTGATATTGGAAACACAGAATGCAGTTTAAATCGATGTTTTATAAAATAATGTTTTATCAATCTGTCATTTTTCCCGAGAAGAAATAAATTTTATTTGAAAGACATTTTCAGGCTTTCGCACGCCAATGTGAAGTCGTGTACGTAAGACAGTCTGCGTAAAATCGCGAAGACAGAGGAAGAACAATAGGGACAGAAGTAAAAGCGGCGAGGGGAAGAAGTGACGTGGCGAGAGAAATGCGATCGAACCGAGGGACGAACCTTCTTCTGAACTTTATCTTTGAGAATAGAATGGAGGAATTGAAACGTCGGATGTATGTACGGTAGCTCGGAAACGAAAAACACTCGGCGTTCCTTTCAGGGCAAGATCAAACTCGGATTCGATCAGATCTCCACGCGAAAGGCTGGAACTCTATTCGAAGGAACAATAATCCGTGCTCGGCTTTCGCGCTTCTACAGCATGGGAGGAACAAAAAGGTGGAACGCGTGCTCTGCTCGCCTCCGTAGTTTGTACGAGAGAAAATTTTATTATCGATATTACGATCTTTACGACTGTAAGCATCGTAAATGCGCTTCGAACGTCATCTCAGGCGTAGACGCGTTTGTCTTTGTACTATCCGCCGTTGAAAATACGGATCCTAAACGAATAGTCTGTCGAAGTAGGTCACAGCGAGACGGAAAAAAATGTTACTTTGTCCATTAATTTCACTACCATCTTGTTCTATTCCCCTAAGCGAAACCTTCTCGACTTCCACGTCATTTATCCGCGATAACTCATAAATGTATTATTCTCTTCGCAAGTCACATTAATGCACAGTCAGGCGGGTAAAATTCTAGTCAGAATTTTACCCGAAATTACAAAGCGGCTTATACCCCAACGTTTTAACGTTTTTCCGCTTGAATATGAAATCGGATAAAAATCCATCCGACATTTGATATATTGTTATTAAGATCAATTTATACGAAGGCTCGTATAACCACGGATTTAAGTTCTCATCATTATCGTCCTCATTATCTGTCCTTCTCACGTTTCGACCGCTAGTGGAGGATATTATAGTTTTAAAACGGGAAGCCTGGAACAAGATTTTTAACTAAGAAAATCGAAAAATAATAATTTCGATGAAGAGTAAAGTGCTCTTTAGGTTCTTGTTCTGGTCTTAAAATTTTTGTTCTGAGTTGTTCTACGCGGTTATAAATATGTTCTAAATCGACAGTTTTGTAAGTCATTTTGTTTACGAATAAATGGCCAAAAACTGTTATTTCCAATATTTTTCTTTTTCCAATATCTCTTAAAGTTTTTGACCAATCGAACTAAAACTTTGGAACAATGTTATGATCAACTAGAACAACCTGGAACAACCTAGAAAAGTTCGATTTTCGAAAAATGGGGTGCCAGGTCAGAAAATCGTTTTTATTAATTTTTTGCGAACATTTTTATTTTAAAAATTTGATTTTCTGGAACAATTTAGAACAAGTCTAGAACAACCCGGAACAACTTTTAAAATTTCAAAATTTTAAAAATTAGGTGCTAACTTCACACAGGTCGAGACTTCTCAAGAGAACGTTGTCGCTGAATCCACCCTCGACAGACGTAAAGACGGAATCAGTCGCGATAGTATTTGAAGGGTCGCCGCGCCGTAACGGGAGGAGAACACAATCCTGACACGCGGCTGGGATTTGACCTTACGTTGTCTCATCAAATAGCCTGACTGCTGGATATTAGAAAATGGATTTCGCGCTTTCATCGCTTTATTGTCCGAACGACGAACCGACCTTTCTCAAGCACGAACCTCGAATCCATTCGTCGAATTGCAGAAAGACACGCTCCACCAGCGGTTTCCATCTCCTTCCTCCTGGCAGCAATCTTCGCTCGCTTTTAGTAATACGAATTTTACGATTTGATCTGATTCTCTCTTTCTCTCTCTCTCTCTCTCTCTCTCTCTCTCTCTCTCTCTCTCTCTCTCTCTCTCTCTCTCTCTCTCTCTCTCTCTCTCTCTCTCTCTCTCTCTCTCTCTCTCTCTCTCTCTCTCTCCCTTTCTCTATCTACAATATTAGTCGCGCTCGCCTTCGGCGACTCTTAGAGCTCCGGCGATGCGATGCATCAGTCGCGCAAACATGATTTCACTCTATCGCGACTATGATATTATCGTTAGGTCTTATTGCGTCTCCTTCGCGTCTTCCTCGTTTTAGACATTTTTGCCCGCGCGCGCCCTCCGTTCTCGTCTCGTCTCGGGGAAAAAAGCTGACGCTACCTGATCTATTATCCCACGATGCAGCCTGCCCTTATCATCCGGAAGACTTTATCACGAAATTCACGTCATCTGAGATCCCGACACCGTAAACGCTCCGCGCTTGCAACTCTCGGCACACAATTTCATTTTGATAAAAGTAATAAGCATTTCCTCGTTTTATAAGTAATATGGATATGCTGCTGGTTTCGCATCGATAACAATCTTATTCCAGCCTCATACACAATAATATATATTTTTTAAAAAGTCTTTTAAATAATTATTCAAGCGGATAATATTTTAATTTACCTTTTCAATCGAATTGATTTAACTTGTAATTAAGAATAACAATCGCTCTAATTAGGCCGTCCTTATATAATCAAAATCTTTATCTATCGATCAGAATTATTAATATGGACTTTGTTTTAGGTACATGGCCATCGTGAATCCTTTGAAACCACGTATGGGGAAAAAGGCAACGCTGGGTGTTGCAACAGTAATTTGGATCATCGCGGCAATTCTGTCTTTACCGATGCTGCTTTTCTATACCACTTACACTCAGAACTACATGAACGGCGAGATCCGCGTTGTCTGCTACGGCGATTGGCCGAACACAAACGCCCAGGGACTCAGCTACGATGAATATTTGTAAGCCATTTTATTGTATGCTTGCAAAATTTACTTCCATATATTTTCTAAACTATTTACAATCGCTTATTCTCTCACAAAAATTCTGAAGATCTGTGTCGTGCGTTTACGTATACAATGAGTCAACGTAGTTAAACGGAATTGCCATTCGCGTTTTTTTTTTTTCTATAATGCACCGATGGTCGAGCAAGTCACAGAAGATAAAAGCGTTTCTGGAGACCCATAAAAGTGACATTGCCTCGTATATACGCACATATCTACTATCGTTTATGGTTTATAACTTTTAAACGATTGTGCCTGCCGGTCAGTTGGTTTGTCTCTCACATATACACGAGCGTGTGCACCACGCATACTATGTCGGCACAATGAGTCCCTCATTTCACTGCAAAGTGCTTGCAGTCCTGATACCGCGACAAGATAGGCGATAAATCGAGCTAATAACACCTTGGATTCGGTGCATCGCAAATGTGTATCGCGTGTCCTCAAAATACTTGCCTCCAATCATGCGCGATTAAATCGAGCTTTGATTGGATTGTAATTACAGATGAAAATCTGAACTGCGTTCCACATTTGCATCCGCTTCGTACTCCGATCGTTCGTTAAGATAGGTCCGCGAAAATGTACTCGCCGGGAGATAACGGGGTGAGGGCTGTTCCCTAATTGAAAGATTCGGACGGTATACTCGAAGCTCGGCGCTATCGTGCATGGCACGTCATGTAAAATCACGCACATCAGTACGACGCCCAATATAGTACGGTTAGTCAGGAGAATTCTGATCCCGATATAAATACCGTTTCGAACAGTCGCTCTCAGAATAACTGCACGTTGCTTAATCCAAGTTCACGCGATTCTATCCATCGTTTCATTATCTCGATCTAACCCAAGAATCTCTTCGCTCCTATGATTGTCATATTCGTGCGACACGAAGCCCATATTTTGCCTCTTGCCTTCCGTCTTTACTTAACCAAAGTGTAAGAGGAAATCGTTTCGAAGTACGTTTCATCAGTTGATCGATACAAAAGCTTCTGCTAGATTGATCGCTCGAAACTTGTCGAGATTATAAGCTTAGTCCGATGCTTTCATCTTGGCGTAGTAACGAGGCTATACATATACATTGACAAATGATAGCAGATAAAGAAAGGAGAAAGAGAGAGAATTTATACTATGCGTAAAATTAGCCGCACCTTACAAAGGTGTGGTTATAATGAAATTATATAGGATAACACCCTATAATCATTGTACAATGCTTCAAGCGTTAAACTAATGAAAATTAGTTACGGTCGTAAATTCTAAAATTATGAAGATTATAATAATTATAAATGACATAGATTAACAATATCGTATATATAAATATAAAATATTTATCAATCTTTATGTTAGATATTCTTTACATATTAAATCATTTAAAAGAAAAAAGAGTTAATCAATAGAAAAAGTAAAAAGTATAGAGAAAGAGAAAAAAATTAAAAATATCTTGCAAGGGCAACCATGATCATCAATTCACGCTAAATGTATATCGTTCACGACAACTTATCTATTCCCAGGATGTACACGATTTCCATTCACGATACGATTTCGCATTTAAGTCAATCTATATGTATTGTCGCATAAGATTGGCTTACTTTCCTCCAATATTCTTAAGATTTTTCGAATACATTTCCTTCTTCCGAACATTCCCAGACGTCGCCTAATCCTTAAGCGTAGCAGAAGCAATTTTGTGTAAATATCACGTATTGCGGCGAAAAGCGCCGTTCCATCGATCGTGTACCTCGAAAGTTCTGCTTCTGGAGCACTCACTCGTTCACCACCATTAAACGCTGACGATTGAAGCTTTTACGAATCTCTGCAGCTTAAATCCGCGTAAAGTATCTAAATCGGGATTACGCGAGTGTAACCCGATGAATTCATGCGCCGATAGTTTTTATTCGTTCGCGGAATCGACGCCGCGCTTTCCAAGCGTAACGCGTGAATTTCAACAGTTGTATAATAACTTGCGACGCCTCGTAATCTGATTGCAACGAACGCGATAATCCATTACCGATAATGAATTCATTACCGTTTGTTAATAATCCTAATGTAGAGTGACGCTTTAACGTCCTCGTCACGATGAGCTGAAAATGCTCAAATTAACAGTTGTTACCGTATTCGCTTTCGGATCGTCATAATTACCGTAATTAATGTACGTGGATAGGATTAGCGGCAAAAATTGCGGTATCGACGGCATGCTCTCGCCACTGGCATTAAAAACGCGAGATTTTTGCGTGGTAATTCAGTCACCGTGTCTCTTAGCCTTTCAACGCGAATTAAAACTGATTGACCGCGCGAAAAATGATTACATTTTCCTCTTTTCTTAAAATATCTCGTTCACGCAATACTTTTTCGTAAATTTTTAAAATTCCGCTTGCCTCCTATCTCAAATTCCGCTCCGACGGCATTATAACTTATGCATGCATTACGCGTAATTCGTTTAACCGCGTCCTCATCTCCCCATAAATTTCGGCGGACACGCCGCGCGGGTCATTATATCCCGCTGCTAAAGGTTAACGGCAATTACGCAATTATCATTAGCCGGGCAGCGCCGACATGTAAATGATTACACACGCGTTTTCGCGTCGAAACGCGAACTCGGCTTAACTCATCTGTCCAATTGCAACTTGATAATGCCATCGATACGCTTTCATCAGCAAACAACATCAGACGTGCACACATTCGCCGGTTCATTAGGTTTAATAATATATGCGTTCGCATAGTATCAGCCACCGTGATCGGTGCACTTTTTGTTAGAGAATTGGCAGTGTATTATTTTCCAGTTTGGCGCTCAATCGGCGCATTTAACATGCGCTTTGAAAGGGATTACGTGCTATGATGCTCCCGAACAAAAGCGTGCCACGCGGGACCGCGACACCACGTTATTTTCATTCTCCCCTTTGAGCATCACGTGTCATCGTTTCTCGCGCCATTCGATGTAAATTTATGTCGAAAGTGCTACACACGTATAACATCTGTGACTTCGTGAAACATCAACTAAATTTGATTGGTTAAACCACAAATTAGGTCGTACATAGGTACGAGCAATTACATCCGCGTTTGCGATAAATTTAATCATGAATTTATTAATGAACCCTATTCACTCCAACCGTTTTTTCCGCCCTTTTAATCCTCGCATCATAACTCACGAACGAATTGACGAAATTTAATGTTCCAAAGCGTAAATTAAAGCTACTATTTTTAGCTTTAATTTGCGCTTTAGAACATTAAATTTCGTCAATTTGTTCGTGAGTTATGATACGAGGATTAGAAACTCGTGGAGACACGAAAGGGCTGGTTGGAGTGAAAATTATACTTGCCGTCAATGATGATTATAAAATCGATGCTTCCTTAACAAAAACCGGCGCGCAATCTATTTTTTCTTTTTGAATTTCTATTTTTAATTTTCGATTTCAAGAGACTGTAATGTGATTAAATCTTAAATTGCATTTCTGTTAAAGAAGAGTGAAATTAACTGGAAAAATAAGATTTTTCCTGTCTGTTTAAAGCTTTTAAAGCACGAAAATACTTTAATTCTCGATGTCAACTTATAATAATGAGATCACGCCTTGAATATACTCGCTTTAACCGAAGAGAAAGGTCGACTCCTAGTTTTCTCAAAGAGTCCTAGAAAAAAAAGTGCGCGATTTCTGAGGCACGTAGAATATATATTTCTCAATATTACATCACACAAACTTGCTCTGAGTGGGCGTACGAGTTTAATTGATTTTCAGGTACAACGTTATCTTCATGATATTGACATACTTTTTACCAATCGGATCCATGACGTTTACCTACGCCAGGGTCGGCCTGGAATTGTGGGGCTCGCAAAGCATCGGGGAAGCCACAGCCAGACAGCTCGAGAACATTCGGAGCAAACGGAGGGTATGTATAAAATGAATTAATATCCGCGCATAGTTCAAAACGCTGAAATTGCTTTCGTTCCACGATCGAAAGATGGTTTAAAGCGGAAAAGCATGAAGACGCTTAAGCGAAAGAAAAAAGATTTTTCTCTCTTCCTCTTTCCGGTTTCATTTTCCGTCAACTGTAATATATTCAACCGTAAAGGAAGCGAACTTCATCGGTTATAATACTCTCGAACGAGGAAAGTTACGGATGTTAATAACCTTCATAAACTCGCGTTGGAATTTGTTACATGCCCCCTGTGCTCGATGGCGTTTAAGTAATTAAAGTGCAGTGTCGTGTCTGCACTTGTAGGGTATTTACACGAGGTGATGCAACTAAGTAATCTCGCGCACGCTCTTTATCCCGCTTTTCCGCCCCGAAACCCAGCCAAAACCGATATACGAACTATCTCAATTAATTAAGTTTAGATGGAGCTTTAGACAATTCTGTTCACGTTCTAGTTTTTCGTTCGTCACGCGTCCGAAAAAGGAACAAATAACCGTGTGGTTTCACTCCACCGCTCTTGCAGGATATCAAATAATTTATAAATACCTCATATTTACAAATGGAATTTACATGCGGACATGCATTTATCGCAACAGCGTTGCATCGTCACGCCTTATTTTTCATATTCTCGTCGCATCAATGCAATATCCGTTGAAAAATAGCGTTACGCATTATTGGCGCATTGCGCGGCGAGGAGGCTACCGATAGCGATCGTGTAATGCATTTCGCTCGAAGTTGTTTCGCTCTATCACAGTCACTCGTATCTCATCGGAATCTCCGATCTTCTATTTCTCTTATACGTATCAACGTTATTATATAAGACATACTTATAAATTATACAAATTATTCGCGATATGAATAATAAAATCAGCGATTCTCCAAAAAATCCGAAATACGTCTTTGTCTTTTCTTATCTTAATGGCGCTATGGTAATTTTTATTGCCTGTATGATGAATGAACGGGTGCGCGCGACTTTCGCAGACCGCAAAGACCCTTTATAGCCTAAAATCAGCAGTTTACCGCGCTGCACTGTTAAATATTAAAGAATGACAGAACTTCGCCTATTTTCATAATGGTTTTGGGCTATCCGGGCCCAGAGATGAGAATAGGGCATCATGCAAGGATTAAAATTGTATAGATATATAAATCAATAGGCACCTGCCTGTTGATTATTTGGTATTTAGGATATGCTAAATATTTTTCTAATACAAATCCCTTCTAACAATAAGTATAATAATGACGTACTTGTCATCTTGGATAGATCTGATGATGAGCCATTCAACGAACAAAATAACTTTAGAAGGTCAGAACTGCTTCCGGCGGAGGTTTGAAAATCTAAAATTATTTTTTCTTTAATACTGCCATTATTATCTACAAAATTTTATACGATTGATTACTTTTAGCCCAAAATGGGCGAAGTTCTTTAAACCAATACTTTGAGTTAAACATTTTATTATTTTTAACTACCATGTGTATCGATTATTTTAACACAAAATAGTATTATTTTAACTTTACTGGTTTAGTTAAATTAACATTGTTTTAGTTCAATTAATATATTGAGTAAGAGCAGGACCTACAGAAAGGATTATGCGTATTTCATATTTTTCGCAAACGTCTACAAGCGTTTAAGAAAGTCGCATCTCAATGTCACTGATAATTTCTTTTCCGTTTTCCTCTTTCCGCGTTCTTCGCTGCGCACGGGCTAAGAAAATATGATTACGACGCGACGGTCCTTCGCTCGACGCGACGCCGACGGTGCGAAAGCGTTCGCTAAAAAACGAACTTTCTCAATTAGTTTTAAACACGATGTCTAATGACTATTTGCGAGCTTAACGACGGAGCGAAGATCACACGTGTACTCGAGATATTCCACGAGATACTCGGTGGCCAGTGTCCTGCTATCGCGTACCTCAGAAACGGCGGTTTGAACCTAAAGCCCGGCTATAATTCGTAATTAGACGAGTCTCGGCCCGCACCTTCGCGGGCCTCTAATTCCGACGCTTTGACTTCAACTCTCTCAAGTATACTTTCGGTCAATAAAGTTTGCGGGAGAAAGTTTCATCTATTCCTCTATGGGCAGTAACGCGGACAACTTTGGGGCGCTTAGTTAATTTTTGGCCGAAGAAAGAGGCAAAGAGAGAAAAAGAGAGGAGACGCATCTCCGAGGGAACGATCCCTTTGTTTCAAAGAAAAATATCCGTGTATTCTAGCACGTTCGCGATACAAGCAACGGGTATCGATTGCCTACAAGCGTATATTGCCTACAATCGTTTGTGATCTGCGTTCCGAAAGAGTGAAAAACAATTAGATACAAAAGTTTCTACCTTCCGGCCAATGCCTTTATTTTGTTCTCGTGAACGTTGCAGCTGCAACTTTTTAAATGGGACGCGATAAATTATGTGAAATAGTGGTAAATGTGACCAAATATCTTCAACATTTGCACGGCAATATATAAAATGCATAGACGTATTAGACTGAACATTGTCATTGCATATTAGAGAGCTTCCGGCAAGATCTGAAAGACAGAAGATATGCTTGCAGAACCGCTTTCCTTTTCTAATTGTCACAATTAGATAAGGAAGCGTTTCCGCAAGCATATCTTTTGTCCTTCAGATCTTGCCGGAAGCTCTCCAATCAAAATGTTCAGTCTATTATATACGCCTATAAAATATCTCTCTATATATACATACATACATACATATCATACTATTATATATATATATATATATATATATATATATATATATATATATAAACACGATATATAAATGCAATTAATGCTGGAATACTATCTAATCGGGCAGAATAATCGCAGAAAAGAGAATAAATGGAATGTGATTATCAAACATAAAAATGGTCGTCCTAAATGGACGTGTAATGAATTCGCAACGAAGCGGTCGATACGAGTGCAAGAAGGATGGCATACTTTCCCGGACGTATATTACAGAAGAAACTGAATCTATAATATGATTCGTCTTTGATGCGTTATCACGTATATGACTGTGTATAAATTACAAACGTGATACGTTTCTAATAATCTTCATCGAAAATCTTCATAAGAAACGTGTACAATATAAGAATATTTGACGCTTGAAAATTATCAGATTGAAATTATTGATCGAGCATTAAATTAAAATTCACGTAGAGTTGACAGATTTATTAATTTCTATACTCTTAAAAATTCAAATGAAGAGTTTAGTATCGAAAATTACGTTGGCATACTTCCTTGAAATCTGATGCGTAGAACATTTATTATAACGACATAAATGTAGTAATTAATCATCGTAACAACTTTGTCTTTCGATAAGATTATATTCAAAGACGCCAAAGTGAAATTTTTCATAATGGAAAAAATAAAATTGAGTAAAGTGAAAAATGAATAAGCCGCGACGCAGCTTACTGTTTGAATTTTAATTGCTCAACTCTCCGCCTTCATATTTAATTTTAATTTCTGATTTACCAAGCTTTCTTTACTCATACGTCCAAGAATAAAGTAATAATTTAATTCTATTAACAGTTTATATTTCGTATTTAAAAGCACTAGTATATAAACAAAATGAGACGAGTGGGAATTAATTTTGTGTCATATTGCATAATTTGAGCAGTTAAATACGATCGTAAACACACCCCTCAATATTCTATTTCTAATAGTCTATAAAGTCTCGTCATTGTAATAATCCGTTTAAAAAAATAAAAGGAAGAAGTGACGCACCGGCGTTGTTTAATTGAGAAATACGCGTAGGAAGGAAGATTGTGCGCTATACAGTAGAGGAAATCTAGTTAAGCGCGCCTTCTCGGAATGTTTGGGTGAGAATGCATTGGATTTCGATTAGACTACAAAAGATTTTCTCTCCGCCACATTCGGAATTGCTACTCCATTCCGCATACGTATCGACGCAATGTTCCGACCGCGAGTGTACGCGCGCAAGTTACGGATCTCCTGTCCATTACAGAGAGCTTACTTGTGTACAAGTACGAGTTTCGGTGTACGACATGTGGACAAATGGCCCGTATCTACAGGCAGACCGCAGCGTTACTGACAATTACCGCGATGAAAACGTTACGGCTTCATTTGACGCGCACAAATAATTTCTATATATTATCTATTTTCGTTCTGCGAGAAGATATCCCCGAAACATCTCTCTTTTTCGACATCTTCAGAAAGTTTCTCTCATTAAAATTTATTAAAATTCATTCGAAAGCGGAGTGCTTTGCTCGGCGCTATTCAGTTTAGTCAAATTATACGAACGCGCTCCGTGTTAGATTTACATACGAATGGAGTAAAGCCAAAACCGCCAAACGCGAAACCTTCAGCTCGTTATACGAGCGTTATATTTCTCTCGTGTTTCTCAAGAACTATAGACGCGCAGTGTTCTTGAAAATTTAAAAAGCTGTTTATGGTGCGAAATTTTAAATGCACGCAAAGTGCGGTGCGCGTGAAACATAAACCCGCAGAGCTAAAGTACTTAAACTCCTCAAAGTGTCGCTCTTAAACTTAAAGCGTAAATACGTCTACAGTATTTACGTACACCTACAACTATCGCAATAACCTTTAACCTTCGCAAAGTTACATCAAATATCTTTTGTTCCACGTATCCATACAAATGATTAACTTAAACTCGTATTTATAATCGTCGTATGAACTTTATATCAAAAAGCGTTTTAAATGAGATATTCAGAATAAAGTTTCATATTTTGAGACAAAATATAATTCAATAGTCATTTTATTAAAAAAAAAATTTTTTTTAATAGTAGTCATATTTTATTTAATATAAAACATGATTAAAAAGCTATTAATATATTCTCTTCGATTAAAAATCGATTATTAAACTGTACAAAAGAAAACTCAGATTGTATCTCAAGAAAAACTAAGTTTTTCAATTAAATCGCGATTGCAAATATCGTATAACAAACACTAAACTGACTATCAACATTTATTTAATAAATCCATATTATCAGAACTTCTCGCTAAATTCTCTCAACAAAAAAATACGAGTATAAATAATAATAAATACGGGGACCTTAATGCTTTGCACGTTTACGAGAACGAGATAAGAATCCAATTTTGTGTCGTCCCTTTGAACGTGCAGCGGCAAAACAATGGCGTCTAATTAATTCGTCGTTGAGGAAATAGAAGAAATATGTAATATCCGAAATACTTCGGATATCGAAACGTTTGCGATACTTGGCTCAATAATACAAGCAATAAATAATGCCTCTTTTATGGTGATTACATCGTTGAAATATATCTCGTAAAAGGAAGATTTCTGAGATCGTGTCAGACGCGCTGGCGTGTGAACGCGCGCGGCACTACAAACCCGTGAGAACAATAGAGAAACTAACAGTGAGGCTGGTGGTGAAGTCTGACATTTCGAGGAAGAAAGGAGGTGTCGGATAATGTGACCAGTCGTTGGGACGCAAACACGCGCGGGCGATCTACTTCTCTTGGCCTTAATTATACTTACTTACCCAGCGGCGGCAGAAGCAATATAGGATCATTCTCTTTCGGAATAAGACATCGGCAAGTATAGACGTCCGTGGGCTGAATAAGATCGAATCCCTCGGCCCTTTCGGTTATTTCGGGAGCAACCGCAACGACGAGGGAGCAATTCGTCTAATTTCTTTACCGGAAGAATCGGTGCCGATAGCAATGAAATATACTGCCCACCAATTCCCTTCCGGGATTCGAGTCTTCCGGATGGTCGATTCCTTCCCTTAAAAGAGACACAATTAAACGTTAGTCATTAACGAAACGATTAGTCAATTCTTAATTTCAAAATGACGTATCTTTTTCCATTCAGTCGCAGTATTAAGACGAGAGATTTTATATTACATATCGTAAATAATGCAAAATAAATTTATCTTTATTTTTTTTAAATTGATTTATCTATTTAACGGTTTTGTAGATTTAAAGAAAGAGATAGTATGGAAGAATATATAATACAGAAAAAGAAGAAGAGAAAAAATAAATTATACAAAGCGAAGCTATCTCAAAATTCATTGCCGCGAACAAAACGCCGGCGCGATTATCATGGATTTTTCGAGCAAGAGAGAAAAATGCAAATTCTTATCCGACTTCGTAGAGAATGTAGCATAGAAGCAACAAAAATGTGCGCCGGGTGTATCTCAAAAGCTTTACAAACACTTGCCGAAGGTCGGGCATAAATATTCGGAGGGAATATCACCGTTCGCTGCGCTTTTTCCAAGCAATTTTTCCAAAGTGCTTGCGCTGAAATATCAAAGCTATCTCTTTGAATGCGAATTGATGAGTGATTCATTGTTGTAAATTGTAATCGAATCAGCCGCTAGATCCATGTTGTAATACGTGTAATGCAAATCGCGTATCCACACCCACGGAGGGGGAGGAATATAAATTTACTTTTTAATTACCCAAAGAAGATAATGAGGTACAGCTCGTAACTACTTCAAGAAATCCAATTTAAGTTATTTCTCAAATAACCGTCTTCTACAAGCTGTCCTCAACTGATTACGAGAACTATACCTGCACGAAGTTGAGTAGGTCGTTAATTTCAACGAAAAGGGGAATTCCTCTTCGAACGGACAAAAGCGTAGTATAACGCGGAGTGAAAGACGAAATTGAATCTCGAGATAATAACAAAAACGACGGGGAAATCGATATGTTACAGGTGCTTTGTTATCGCGGCTTTAATCACCCGTAAAAGTTCTTCGCAGAAAATGCATATTCAAAGAAGCGTTTATTGCCATGCTACAAATTACCGATCGAAACTGGCAAAGTGGAAACAATCGATAGCTTTATTTTCACATTGCGCCAATAATTAGTCGCATTATCTCGATAGGCGCGTGCTACAGAATATATTAAATACGGGAAACTTCCCTCGTTATTCGCGGGAATCCTCATTCACAGCGCGGGATGCGTGTGCGAACGCGAATCTAACAGGTGTTTTCATTAAAATCATTGACAATTTGACTGCATAAAATCATGTGTCACATTAATATATTTATATAATACATTTATGTAATAGATTATAAAATAATTATGATCATTTACATATTAAAATGACCGGGAGAATGTATAATCTCCCGAGTTTAATCAAATATGAAACATGTGAACTGATTATTCTCTTAATGTATTATTCAAGCGATATAATTTAAAACAGTAATTTATTACTGTTCTAATTATTTAACGCGACTGATTGCGGTCTTTATGGGGAAATCTTGATATGAATTATTACAGAAGGATTTACGTTTATCTATACTTAGGACACATTTTTGTGCTTTTTTTCGTTATGAAACAAATAACATAATTTACATAATGTACATTTCTTTTATTCAATAACGTTTTTAAGATACTGAAAGCAATATCTTCGCTTTCTTTATCGGAAAGATCTAACTCTATAATAAATTAATCGTGGAGAAACGACCGGCCTTTCATATCTTGACTAATATAAATTTTCTTTATATTTCAGGTAGTAAAAATGATGATAGTCGTTGTAGTAATATTCGCAGTGTGCTGGCTTCCGTTTCATATGTACTTCATAGTGGCGTCATATCTGCCAGAGATTACAAATGAACCGTACATCCAGGAGGTCTTTCTGGGAATATATTGGCTGGCAATGTCCAACAGCATGTACAACCCCATAATTTATTGTTGGATGAATACTAGGTAAGATTTTTGTTTCCCTATTCGACCTACTCTATTCACAACGACCACTTTTTGCTCTGTTATTCGTAATAAACGTTTCTCGGAAATGTGTCAAAATTTTGATATGTTATAACAAAAGTTGGATTTTCTCGTAACACCAGCATTGTAATCCGAGAATTATTTCTTAAGGGTCCTTATGCCGATTCAACCAACTTCGTAAGATAACCAAATACGTATCGACAAATCCTAGGCTCTCGTCATTTGTTAACAGAGTTCACGAAAGTTTCCTTCTTCAACATCTCTGCGCGGTGTTTCGCTTCGCTAAGTTTGCCTATCGCGATACGCAAGGACTAACTTAAATTATTCTATGTTAATTAGCGGATCTACACAAATTAAACACAAATCTCCGGTGCAAAATATCCGAGCCGCTCTCGAAGTACACAGTTTCTCGACGCGGGAGTTTAAGTTTCTATATCAACTGTCGTTGATATATCTTACATTTGTTAAAGCGTGACACATAAATTTTAACAATTTTCAAATTATATTTCTTAACTTCCAAATTATCGAGATAAAATAATGAGATGTATTTACACTTTTGTAAAGCTATAAAGATCTGATAGAAATAATTTCGTCACTTATTGCAATCGCTGTGCAGTTTTATTTTAATGTTCTTGCTTAAGAAGATTCGATTGCCTTCGATTTATTTCGCCGTCGAGAGTGTTTGACGAACTGACGAGAGTTAATCCAATATAGCACACAGAAGATAAGCTCATCCGACTTTAGAGATACTTCGGAGGATGGAAGGAGGGGGAGGGGGGAATGACGCCCGAAGTTATTACAGGAACAGGAAGTAACAGCGTTGCCATTAACACGTTTACACAAACGATCAATTCGAATGCTGAATATATTCCACGATAATGGAAACGCGGTCGACCAGACCGAGATTTCCGATACATGCGAAATAAGCGATTCGTATCATCATAGAACCGGACTATGGCACCGCGGGGATGTAGCTTTTAAGCACATATGTGTGTTGCCGCACTGGTTCGGTTAACGTCGCTGACCGACCGACGTTCATCGAGAAAGGCCCCGCGAATCTTCCGAGAGCAATCGAAATAATTTCGCTTCGCCCGCAGATGGGAATGGGAATGGAAATGGGAACACTGTCGATCGAACCGTGGGCACCGTGGCTCGAACCCCCTCCTCCCTCCCTTGCTACTCCTGCCCCAAAACTCCTCTTACACGTCACACGCACGTTTTGTTCCTTACTAACTCGGTATTGCCGCTATTTATTGGTCCGTAAAAAAAAAAGAATAGACGCAACGTCAAAAACACTAAACTGATGGAAATGTAATACATCGGACACCTCTCGCTACGAGGTATACGGACATTCGCGGCTCGAACGTGCGGATTTCAATTTTCCGCGTGCTATCGACAGAATACGCTCCGGTCTCATAAATATTCATATACGACACGATACGCAGGTATCATTGTGTTTCCGCGTCCGGACTGCGATTTCGTAATGACAGTGAATAATAATAACAATGGCGCAGTATAGTCGTGTAATAATTGGATTACAGCTTTCTCCCTGCATGTAATACGCGGAACTTTTTATCCCGGACATTCAGGCGGTTCTGCACGGTATAACGCGCTTTTCTTAAAAGATCTTTCTTTTCCCGTGTGTATCGTGAAAAAAATATGAGCCGTATATGAGAAAACTTTGCGAACCGCGAGTGCCATTTTTCAATTTTCTTCTCTGCGAGAAGTATAAAATGTAAAAATGAATATATATGTGACACATGAATTGTGTCTTTGAGTTGAAGGACAGCGGGATATTTCTCTTGGGGAAATCAGGTTTTTTTTAAGTAATATGCATGATTTAAATCATCCTATCTTCATGAATATCATGAGAAAAAGATGAAGACGGAACCTTGCGATCTATAATATGAAAAGTAAAAATATTAAACTAAAATCATTATGGCATATGGATAATCTTGATTCTTTGCAACATTTATATCTGCAAAATACTTTGCAACAACTTTTTATCACTCATGTTTCTATCACGTTTCTATCATGTTTTTATCACTCATTCTTTAAGCGTAAAGAACAAAGATTATCTGATTCAAAATTATCCATACAACAAGGCATAACTTTATCTTGACAGTTTTAAGGAATAATCTCTCATTCTCTCGCGATATTATGCTCCATCGATCTCCAACGTGCTTTGTGCGTCGCAGATTCCGGCGTGGCTTCGCCCAGTTCTTCTTCTGGTGTCCGTGGGTGCGGGTGACGACGGAGCCGTCTCTATCGCGTTCGGAGGCCGTGACGTCCAGATACAGCTGCACCGGTAGCCCGGACATGCACACCAGAATATCGCGGAATGGTACGTGCACCTTCTCGGAGCACTCTTGCACCACCGGCTCCACAACGCCTAGGAGCGAGTCAGACTCTCATCTCGAGGACGCAGCCGAGGGGGACGCGCGAACATCATCCATAGATTTGCGCCACTTGGTCCCCGACGTCCTCGCCGATGTCGATCGCGGCAATGTTGTCGCGGCCAGGAATTGCACCTCGCACTGATCATCGCGAAATTCCGAGCAAAGCTTTACACTTTACCCCTTTTCTCCCCCCGAGTACCCGAGTATGTACTCGATTTGGCGGATCGAAGATACCGGCTCGTGATCCTTCGCGCGTGAACGTTCGCGACGCGCGCGTTAAACTATTTATACAACACACGGAACCGTAACACAGACGTAAAATCGTCGTTCGATAGAAAAATTGTTTGCGCATACATACGAAGGATTCGATGCGAGGTGAGAATCGAATATATTTAGCGTTAAATGTGTAGTCCGAGCCGTTCGCTTCACACCCCCGTGATTTCGTATCGATCACAATACAGCAGCCCAAGCGGAAAGTAATAAACGCGAAACAAACGCGGAAAATAAACTATGATTGCATGTTTGTTGTTCGTTAACTCGGGGGAAATATCCTCTTTGCAACATCAAGAATTAA